AGGCAGAGAGAGAGAAGAGGACAACAAACGAGGGGCTGTGACAAACTGTTTCGTCGGAGTTTCACCGACTCGTATATATATATACTATTCTACATACATATCTATATCGATATACATATACATATACATTCGTTTTAGACATGACATTGTCTACATATCTATTATTAGTTCACAATTTTATTTTTTATTTTTATTTTATTTTTTTTAATTTCTGCGAGGCTCAAGGCCTCGGTAAACCCTACTGCGCCCTGCTTTCAGCAAGAACGGCCGCCCTAAGTGAAGGTGGGCCTGTCCAGTGAAGAGAGGCCTCTTTTTTTTTTTTTTTTTTTTTTATGCAGCTGGGAAATTGAGGCAGTTGCGCAGTTGGTTGAGTGAGCCCAGGCCCTGCCTGCCTTTTTCCAAATGTACCTAAGGCAGGCCCTGGGCCAGAGACGGGGCATGAACTGAACACAGGCCGCTGGCAGTTGGACACGTGTAACCTCCTCAAGGCCCTGTGGAAGATTCCCCGGGACAGGGGCTCAGCCACTTGGGGCTTACCTGAAGCTTCCACGGAGAGGCCCATGCCAGCCAGGCAGCCACTACTTGCAGCCGCATTCCATATAGGAAAGGGCCTGGCTGCGGGCTGGACATTCGGGCACTTGCTCCATGCCGCCTCAGCGCTGCTGTGCTATCGGCAGGCAAGCGCCCACGTGCTCACGGAGAGAGCAGGGCACATGCAGGCAGCCATAGCCGAGCTGGCCTGCGAGATGCTGGAGGAGGCGCATTGTGGTCCTTGGGTGCATGTGGCATCTGTGTGGGGGATCGAGAGTGTGAGTGAAGTGTGAGACATACCTGGTGCTTGAGGCGAACGGCATTGGCAGAGATCTGCTCGCACTTGGGGAACTTCAAGCTGTTGACGTCACCAGCGGCATTGTAGATGGGCTAGATAGGATCTGCCATTCGTAGTCTCTGCGCAGAACGCCAGATAGGGATTCTACATTGGTTCATTGTTGATGATGATGAGACTATTCCAGCATTGTCATTTGTGAGGTTTTGCTGTGCTCTTATTTGGTGGAACTCCAGACTTAGTTGCAATTCTTTTTTTTTTTTTTTTTTTTTTTTTTTTTTTTTTTGAAAGGAAAAGTTGGAAAACACAATTTTTATTATAAAATTGAAATCCGCTTGAGGCCGGGGACCTCACAATTCTACCTGGGGTTTAGTTGCAGTTCTGCGTTTGGTTCGAGGTCAAGACTATTTGGTTTCATGTGTGAAAAAAAAAAATAAAAAAAAAAAATGTTGCTTGGTTTCTGGAATTCGCTATCGCTCATTCAAGTTTTCCTTGCAGTTCAAAATTCGTCATATAATGACATACATATAGATATATAGATGTGCCCACGCGGGGAGGATGGGCGACATTGCCATGGGTGACATTCCAATTGACGACATCGCGGATCCGAATGGCAGGAACCGGGGCGAGGTCCCACAAGCAAACAGCATATGATTCAATGTCTGAATCTGGACGTGTTTCTTAAGAGGTGCAGAAACTCGCAAATTGATCTGCTCTTCTGAATTCTACGTAAACTACATCCAGATTCAGGTGCGTGATTCAATCCTCATTGCTACCGGGACCTCGCCCCCGATGCGTGCTCGATACCGTGACCAACTCTAATGGGACTCTAAACCGCCTCTAGTGCTGAAAAAAAAAAAAAAAAAAAAAAAAAACTATAGTGGGACTTATTAGCCCGATTGCCGTAGCATGACCTCAAGTTCGCACATTAGAATGGGTCTTGCTCCACTACACTAACTCTCGACATGCATAAAAGACAAAAATCTTGGGCGTGTATCTTTCCGTGTTCTAGCGGAAGATTCATTCTCGTTTTGCACATTTCGATCTCGTTTTGCACATTTCGAGAGTATAGTGGAGCGAGGGCCAATACCCGCTGTTGCTGGCCCGCGGACACAGCAACAGCAAGTGAGGCGGAATGGTACACAAATAAAACTGTTCATATTTTGGGGATGTCATAGCCAAGGACTTAGGGCGTCGTTCGACACTCCTCGGGGACGCGATTTCGAGGATTTCGTCATCGTTCCACCTGTCCTCGGAGCCGGTTTTCGGAACAGAAATGTGAAAACACTCCGAGGACAAATCCTCGGGCTCCGAGGATTTCCCAGCCAAATCGTCCTCGGGTTCAAGGGACGTCGCGAGGTCCTTTGGAGCCCGAGGATCCGCGATTATCGGGGTGTCGGCGGCGCGTCACAAAGGGGCGACGGAGGTCGAAAGTGGTCCAGAGGTGGTCCGGAAGGCGGAAGACGGACATCCCGAGGCGTGGGCGTCCAAAACGTCGAGTAATGCCTCGTCGTTTTACCATTGGCGGTGATCGTCGTGGGACGGCCCTGTCGGTTCGTCGGGTGTCCCGGCGGAGGTGCAGTGGCGAGCATCGAACGTCTTCGGCCGGCTCCTGCAGTGGTCGTGCCGTTCCCGCGTGCTCCACAACGGTCGAAAAATATGTATTTTGTAAGCGCCCTCCTGCAGCCAGCTGCGAGATTGCATCAATTTCATTCGTTGGCGTCTTCCCTCTCGCACCGTTTGTCTCTGTTCGCCGCGCTTGCCACAGCGCGAGTGCGTCTTTTGTTTCTGCTGCCCTGTCGTTCATGGCAGACCTGTACCGCAGGCTGCCTTTGCTGCTGCTTGCCGTTGTCGTCTTCCATATTTGTTGCCTCTTGCGCGTTCCAGGGAGGAAACAAACGCGGCGAACGTCGAAGACGGCCAGGAAGATGGAGAGGGTACAAACGAGGACCACGTTGTCCGTTGGGGCTGCGGGGTCGTCACGTCAGCGCTGCAGAAGTGCGGAAGCAGTCAGGCGGCCGTATGACCCCACACTGTACAGCCACCTGCCGTCCCACGAGATACCGTTGCCTCCAAGTGACAATGACGGCGACGACCCACGATGTTCTACCCTTCCTTTGGGCAGCGGTTCGACTCAGGATTGGATGGGGAGCCAGCTGCACGGGCAGGCATCGACGCCGACGTACACTGATCTGCTGGAGGGGCGTACCCCAACTGGTTATGACCCAGGACTGGTGGATCTCAGCTTCGGATTGAGGTCCGGGAGTGTCGAGGAGGTGACGCGCACCGTTATCATGAGCCCAGCTTCGGGCGCCACCCACACACCGACTCCAGTGACAACGCGGACAGGCGGATCAGTTCCGTGTAGAATGATGACGGCAGGTGGCACAGTGGACGGACGACGCCCAAACGAAGAGTGGTCAGCAACGGAGGTCGTTGGTCGAAAGTTTTAGGATGATCATCGGCGAGAATCGCGTGAAGCGAGCACGGCCGGCATAACGAGAGGGGTGGCGAAGATTGTCGTGGGGGCGGACAATATATTAGGCGATGAAGATGGTGCAGTTGCGGAGGATTGCGAGGCGGACGACGGGGCCGGTAACGACGACGAGGAGGACGACGAGGAGATGGAGATTCGTCCAGTAGGGAGAAAGCGGGGAGGGTCGAGGGCAGCGAAAAAGTTGCCGGAAACGCGCACGGGGCGGAGGGGGAAGAAGGGTGTGGAAGATGCGTCGGCTGGCGAGGGATCGAAAAGCCGGGATTTTTGGACCGTGGAGCACATGATTGCTCTCATCCGGGCAAAAAGAGACCAGGATTCGCATCTTGCCGGCCTCGCGCACACCACGGGAAGGATGAAGACGAAGACATGGAAGTGGGACGACGTGGAGAAGAGGCTGGTGCACATGGGGGTCACGAGTAGAAAGGCCGTCGATTGCGGCAAGAAATGGGACAATCTGTACCAGCAATTCAAAACCGTACACAAGTTTATGGGAAAATCGGGGAAGCCAAATTTCTTCACACTAACGCCAGGCGAGAGGAAGGAGCGGGGGTTCGATTTTCGGAGGGATGAGCGTGTGTATTCGGAGATGGCGGCGATGACCAGGAGCGATCACACAATACACCCCACCAATCTCGCCGACAACGGTGCGACTGGAGGTGTTCAAATGCCCGGCCCACGCGGAGGTCGGAATGAATCCGGCGGTAGTGAGGGGGGCGGGGATGGACAGGACGACGATCAGGGGTCAACGGGGGATTCTATCAGCGGCGGTGGTGTTGGCGGGGGCAGCAAACGGAAGAATGTGAGACAACAGACCTTCGACACGATTGCAGACGTGATGAAGGAGCACGGGAGTCTGATGGCAACAACCGTGGACAGCGCGAGCAAGAGACAATGCTCAATTCTGACTAGGCAGTGCGACATTCTGGAGCGAGAGGTTGAAGTGCAGAAGGAACACTATGTTAAGGCGGACCAGGCAAACTTGATGATGTGCAAAGCACTTATGGAGATTGCTAAAGCGATCCGCGAGCGATCGTGACGTCTCCACGCCACGCGTGCCGTTATTGTTCTGCGTGCTGCAATGACGAGATGTGCAGGTTGTGTACAAACGGCTGTTTTTTTTTTTTTTTGGGCGCACGGATTTTTTTATTTTTTTTTAAGTATGCATTTATTTGATGATTTCATTGTGGAATGGGTATGATTGTTGTCATGCCCCGCGGCGCGTCCTTCGGTGTTACACTACGTCGTCTGATTATAGAATATTACGACTGTTGTAGTGAGGCGTCGCCGACACGCATGGATGGCGAACTCCAGGGGTTTCGGAGAAGGGTGTGATTTTCGGGCGGGAGGGGGTCGTTGGTTTGGCGGGCTTTTTCGACCTCCGCCAGGGTCCTTCTGCACGCCCACTTTCGATGTTGGCCATGCGAGGGATGACATGCGCCTGCGGAGGAAAATGGACCATGGGCGACTGACGAAGGGGCGGGCTGTAGTGGACGGGGACTCATGTCCACGGTGTATGTTCACATCCCAGTACGTAGAAATAGGACATTCCGCCCGCGATTCCGTACTGCAGTGGTTCCTTGGCCACGGCTCCTTCTCGCACCGTCTGCCTACCTGCTCATCGTCGCACACATGCAACTCCGCTTCGTCGCGCCACGCTCCTGCATCGTGCTGCGCGGGCAATGCCCCTTCATGCACATCAAACAAGTGGTCCCGCGTCCCCGCCGCGACAACTGTCCTCTTCGCCCACGTGCCACGCTTCAAGGACTTGAACGCCGCCTCCGTCCACGTGCTCCTTCGTCGACGTCATCCTTCCTGGACGTGCAACTCCGCCAAACGTGTTTCGTCGTCCGCGATCTCCATTTCGGTCGCCATCGTCGTCGCGGCTCCAAGACCACTGCCCCGTCATCTGCATCATCCACGTCGTCCTCCGTCCACGTGGAAGCACTGGGAAGCAGTCAGGCGTCCTTCATCCGCGCGCTCTTTCGTCGAAGGCAGCCTTCGTTTACGTCGTCGTTGATTCCGGTTTGCGGACCAAATGCCCCCACGGGGCGCGTCAGCGAGGGGCAGGAAAGATGGCGGGGCGGGCGACGGTGGGGAAACCAACAAAGGCAGAGGCCACATATCGAAGTCGAAAAGGCAGCGCATCGATGATACCAGCTCCTCACAAACTGATGACTTCGTCGCAGACGAAGTGGCTATGGTGGACGCGCAAGGGACGGCAGGGGTCGCGAGGTTGGGTTTCGAGCGGGATGGAGTGTCGAGGGAGCAACTTCTAGCAGTGAAACGCAGCGTTGTTGGCGGTGTTGCCAGGACGGTGCCAAGGACCCCAAACACGGCAGGGGTTGTCGTCACGGGCGCGCGGGTCGTGGGACAACTTTCGGCGGCGGCTGGCCAAGGTCAGCCACGTCAAGCACTCCCCCTGCAACACGTGTTGGCATCAGGGGGAGGGCACACGGCGACCTCGCAAAAGGGCGACGCGACGGCTAGCGTGAGTCGGATGGCGGCGGCAGATCACACAGCTAAAGGCGGAGTCGTCGAAGGTGCGGAAAGGGGGGGGGTCGACGATGTTGGCCGTGACGATGGCCGAAGAGACGGAAAGCGGGAGGGCAATGACGGCGACGGCCGTCCACTTCTGCCGAGGGGGAAGGGAATGCCGAAGGAGGACGAGCTGGAAGAGAAGGCCAAGTTGTGGGTTGATTGCGACGCTTTCTGGGGTCAGGGTCCTGGGAAACCTCTGAGGGAGGTGGTAAGCGAATGCACCGACTACTTCGTCGCCATCGCCAACGGAGACGCAGGAGCTGAGCCGCCTTCGATGCTCATCATGCCGCCGAATGACGTGCCGCGCTTCAAGATCGACGACCCGGCGCAGCGTGATCTGGCTCTCCGCAGAGCGCGCAGTGTGGAGAGAGTAGTGTTGCGCACCATCCACGGCTGGATTTTCAAATCGCAGTCGAGGTCGACTGGCTTCTCTCGTGCAGAGTCCTACATCACCGTCGACTTCGCCATGGGCCTTGCACGAGCAGTTTGGCAGGCCTTGGAATGGTCGAGAGTGGTATCCCCTGCACTCGTCTACCACACGTTGGCGATGAAGATGGACGTGCCTCTGTGGTTC